AACAATGGCCTTCCAACACAGTAACAATTGTGAGGATGGCACAGGACCAACATAAGGTCAAAAACTGAGCTTTGAACCAACAATTAGATATTTTTTTTAAAGAGAAATTGTAACTGCCACTTTTTGAACTCAACAGCTTCCCTAAACTTTAAATAATACTTTGTTGTTTAATGAAATGTGTCAATATTTGGAAGACTGCCAACTCAGTGAACCCAAATTTTCAAAAGGATTCATGCCAAAGTGCCAAGATACACCAATGGATTTTAATGTAACAGAGGACAAACATTCACTGATGCAGTTTTAGATTCCACAGTGCAACTGGCCTTTACGAAACTATCACTGTCTGAAAAGGCTGTTAAGATACAACTCTTTCCCAAAAGCATAGCTGAGGGAGGCCAAATTTCTTCATCTATTTCAACCAGAACAGACTGAACTCAGAAACACATATGAAAACCCAGCTGTCTTCTATGAACCCAGACACTGTTGTGGCTATGTGCCATGAAGTCGGTTCCGAATCATAGCGACCCTGCATAGGGTTTCCGAGGCTGTAAATCTTTACAGGAGCAGAAAGCCTCATCTTTCTCCCATGGAACAGCTGGTAGTTTTGAACTGCTGACCATGAGATTAGCTGCCCGATTTGCAACCACTTGCAAAAATATATATATATATATATATTAATTACAAATTTGTTTTCGAAAAAAGAATACTTTTCATTATACTCATGTTAACAAGTAATATGTTTTACTATATTTTAAAACTATTCATTTTCATTTCAAATATAGTAGATAAATGTAACATATAAACAAGAGCTCTTTGGAGTCCTCAGTAATTTTTTATCTTGGAAAGGAGGCTAAGTAAACAGCAGAGATAGTTATAATGCCACCTACTGGCAAGTCCTGAATTCACTACCTCTCCTGAAAGGAGTTCTGGTGTGGCGCTGTGGGTTAATGCTCCAGACTGCAAAGCCGTTTGAACTGCAAGGTCGGTGGTTCAAGCTTACCAGTTGCTACTTGGAATCCCTATACAGGGTCGCTATGGGTCAAAACCAATTCGACAGCACTTCACAACAACAACAACCTGAAAGCCAGCAATTCAAACCTATCAGCCACTCCTAGGAAACCCTATACAGGGGTCACTGTATGGTGGAAGCAACTTGACGGCACTTAACAATCTGAAATCCCGTGGCCACAAAAACTCCTCTCACCTGACATTAGACTGCTAACCACAGGGTCGACAGTTGGTGCCCACCAATCACTCTGCAGGAGAAAGATGAGGCTTTCTGCTCCTGTAAAGGTTTAAAATTAAGAAAGGTATGCGACAGGGTTGTATTCTTTCACCATACTTATTCAACCTGTATGCTGAGCAAATAATCTGAGAAATTGGGTTATATGAAGGAAAACGTGGCATCAGGATTGGAGGAAGACTCATTAATAACCTACGTTATGCAGATGATACAACCTTGCTTGCTGAAAGTGAAGAGGACTTAAAACATTTATTGATGAAGATCAAAGAGCACAGCCTTTGGTATGGAGTGCATCTCAATGTCAAGAAAACAAAAATCCTCACCACTGGACCAATAAACAGCATTCTTAATGGAGAAAAGATTGAAGTTGCCAAGGACTTCATTCTTCTTGGATCAACTATCACCACTCACGGAAGCAGCAATGTTTCATTCTGTAGTACATAGGAGGATCACTATGAGTTGGTACTGACTTGATGGCAGCTAACAACAACAACAAAGATAGGGTAGGAAACACTACACAGGGTAGCTATGAGTTGGAACTGACTCAATGGCACACAACAAGAAGCATATCCAACGAAGTCCTGGTGATGCTGTGGGTCAGGCATTGATCTGCTAAATGCAAGTTCAGCAGTTCAAACCCACCAGCTGCTCTATGGGCAAAAGATGAGACTGTCCGTTCCGATCTAAAGCTTTGGAACCCTATACGGATGAGTCCAAATTGACTTGATGGCAATGGGTTTGGCGGTGGTAAATGCTGTTAAATCGGTTCCAAGTCATTGCAACACTGTAACAGGGTTTCCAAGGAGTGGCTCATGGTTGAACTTCCAATCTTTTGGTTAGCAGCTCAGTGCTGATCCTACAGAGCCAGGTTAGCCATGTCCAAATACATCTCAAAGAATGTTCTATAATGAGACTCAGGCTGAGGTAAAAAGGCAGGGAGTGGGGGTAGGGGGAGTCAGGATGGAGAAGGCAGAGAAAGGAATATTTTGAGACAAAATTAGAATTCTGCTTTTTATAAGAGGTAATAATAGTCCAATGGCTTATATAAGAAAAGCTACAGGTTATTACAATGTACCTGGTGATGAGATATTGACTTCACAGTGTTTTCTAAGTTTGTGACGCCTTAGAGCTGTGTCTCATCATGCTTACCAACAACCCCACTTATGGCTTCTTCGGTAACAGCTGTTGCTGCTGTAAGATGCTTCACAAACCCTTGCAGGGTAATTGCTCACCTGGGCTCATTGAGGGTTGCATCTTGGCCTCAAACATATGGGCAGCATGATCTAAGGTAACTGAATGCTCTTGGGATTTTTTTCAGTCTTTAAATCACATGTATGGGTTGAACTGAATGAACAGAACAGTTTGAGGGTGAGGTTTTTTTTTTTAATCTGACCATTCCTAACAGTTCCTTGTTTGAAGTTGTGCAATATGAATTGTCTAATTTGAAGCCATTAACAGTTTTCCTCTTCACTTTCTCTTTCCCACATGCTTCATTTTCTTGGTGATATTGCACAGGATACTGAAAATACATTTATATGAATGGAAAACATCAAACCTTTCCTCCTTTGTTTGTAGATTTTAAATGGAGGGACTCCAGACATTCCTTCCAGTGGCCTACTTCCAGGGCAGGCTCAGGAGAACCCAGGTTATCCATACTCTGATAGTTCTTCTATTCTCGGTAAGTGACACCATTATTCATTTCATTGCAATGAGCTTGGAAAACATCTGGCAGGCATAAAGTCAGCTTTAAGAACTAAATTAAACAAAGAAGCTAGTTCTAACTATGTTTGATAAGAACAAAGTAAAGCTTTACCATTGGTTTAAATCTCTACTTCAACGTTAACTCTTACCAGTTGAGTTCTGGTGGGGTCCAAGTTTAACTCAAGGGGCAGTTACAGCAGTATAGAGAAGCTTTCTTCCAAAATGCAGGACCTACTTACTCTCTTCACAAGAGGGCTGCTAAAGGCTCAGAGGTAAAACTTAGAAGGATCAAGAAGCATTACAGAGGGTCTTACAAGTCATTAAATTATGAAAAAGTTTGTGTCTTCTCATCCATCCATGTTTTCCTCTATTTGGCTTTCTGTATTTTTTTGTTCTTTCCTTATCTCTTTCTTCCTGTTTGTCTTTGTTTCTATAACCTGCTCCCTGTAATTGGTTCTAAAAAATAAAAATATTTAATGCTGACTCAAATTATTTTAACATTTACTGAATTTTAAGAATTTTACTGAACTTTAAGCATTTTGTTCTTATTTTTTTTGAAAGTTGGTTCTATTCTGTGAAAAAATGCCAAAGCTGGAAAAAGGTAAAAAAAAGGACAATACAGTGCTAGGCAGCGGTCTGTTGCCCCACTGTTAAATGTAACTTTATTAAAAGTGTGCTTAGAAATTGCTTAGTAAATATGCTTTGGTGTTTCTGATCACTGATCAGTCTTTATCTCCTCCCACAGGTGAAAACCCACACATAGGTTTAGATATGATAGATAACGACCAAGGTTCAAGTAGTCCCAGCAACGATGAAGCAGCAATGGCTGTCATCATGAGCCTTTTGGAAGCTGATGCTGGACTAGGTGGCCCTGTTGACTTTAGTGACTTGCCGTGGCCGCTGTAAACACTACATGTTGCTTTGGCAACAGCTACAGTATCAAAGTGCATTACAAGTGGAGTTTTACAGTCTGTGAAGATTATTGGATAAGGAGAGAACAGCTTTTATGTACTGTCTTCATAAAAGCCATCTCAGAGCCATTGATACAAGTCAATCTTACTATATGTAACTTCAGACAAAGTGGAACTAAGCCTGCTTCAGTGTTTCCTCATCATTGATTATTGGGCTAGCTGTGGATAGCTTGCATTAATTGTATATTTTGGATTATGTTTGTGTTGAATTTTTTAATCATTGTGCACAGAAGCATCATTGGTAGCTTTTATATGCAAATGGTCATTTCAGATGTATGGTGTTTTTACACTACAAAGAAGTTCCCCCATGTGGATATTTCTTATACTAATTGTATCATAAAGCCGTTTATTCTTCCTTGTAAGAATCCTTTACTATAAATATGGGTTAAAGTATAATGTATTAGACAGTTAAATATTTTTAATAAATGTTTCCCTTGTTCTATAACTACTGTTCACATTGTAAATAATTAGAAAACAATCCTACATGCTACAGGGCTGGACCAGCCACCTTCTATAGTACAGGTTTAAGGTTAATACTCACCAGTAACGTGTGCAGTGCCTTTCAAGCCTCATAACAATCTGGGACCGGCATAAACTCCTTATGCTACTGCCTTAGCTATACGAGAGGGCTTCAAAACTTCGTGGAGAAATGTAATTAAAAGGTAATGAAATTTCCCCATAAACTTTTTGAAGCTCCCTTGTATTGTTAAAACAGTTAATTTCAAAATTGTTGCAATTTTATGTCAGAAAAAAAATATTAGTACTTAAACACAAATTTTAAATCCTCTGAAATTATAATTTGAAGTTTAGAGATACAACAAACTAGCCTCTCTACTACTACCAGCAGTTGTATGGCTTCAAATAGTTAAGTGAGCCCAGCACCCATGTTCTGATTCCCTCTTGAACATAACACAAAAAATAGCACTTGTATAAATAATTTGCTGAGTACATTTTATAGTTAGTGGGGAATCCAAGTGCCTCCTCAGATTGTATCAAATTGGAGTCCCTTGAACTGTTATTTGGTTTCTACTTATTCTTACAGCAATAAGACGCTAAAAACCTTGTCAAGGTGGTTATAAAGTTGTTCAGAAACAGTAAAACAATGGAATTTTATTTTGATGAAAAAGTTGAGTTTACAATCATTTAGTAAATGAAGAGCAAACACTTCATTTTCCTATCCCATAACTCTTAAGAAAAAAACCCATTAGTAAATAAATATCTGAACAGATGAAGGGTAAGGCAGACTGGATAAGAAACCACCTCTGATGTTCACACTCCCTGCATGGGACTCACGCTAAAAGGGTGAAAATGGCACTGGAACTATCAGAACTGGTAAGATATGGGCCTGGAATCTCATCCTGATCATTTCAAACAGGCCCAATGATAAATACTCCTTTTGTGCTCATCAGTGGGCAAAAATTACACATATTATTACTGGAGGGATACTTTGATAGAAGCACTTAAGTTACATTGTGCATCACAACTATAAAAATGGCTTGAATAGCTCCATTTAACCACCATTTATAAAGTGCAACAATATAATATTCTGCATTTTATCTGGGCTGTGGCCAATATCAATCTAGACTGAAGGTACCCCAGCTACCAATTTCCACCACTTCTGAAAAGATCTAGATATGTGAAAAAGGACTGTCCCCATACAAAGAACCAATTTCACAAACCTACTGGTAAACAAATACATTTATATGTAACTGGACCTCAGGATGCTAGAATTGTACTCATTTTAAAAAACCATCCAGCTACCTTTGGTCTTTAAAAAAGCCTACACTGCAGTATCCTAAACATTGTTATGTGCATCTCACAATGAAGAAGAGTGGTCTTGCAGTGCAGAATGAGGAGAGTACAACGTCACTGAAGAGTAGCATGCTATTGTTTCAAAGAACATCAGCCTCACAGCACTGGATTTTGCCCATCAGGATCGAGGTCATTGTTGCCAGAAGGGGGATGGATAGGAAGAATATCCAGCTCATCCACTTGTGGAGTTGGATGCATGACTACCAGCTGGTCCTGGGGAATGTCTGCGGCAGCTGCTGCTAAGTTGGTAATAGATTTACTCTTTACACATTGAAAGTCTACATGCCGACTTTTTCCTTCTTCCTTCTCCCAGGACATTCGAATAAAAGGTCTTTGGACATAGTTGTAAATCACTTCTGGCCGGCCCCCAGGCCTTTTCTTTACTTTTTCCTTATAGGTAGGATATCCTAAAGGAGAGAAAGAGTTTTAAAAACTGAGGATACACACAGAAACACACAATATTGCTCACCCATTTTAACCTAGAGTGAGCTTAACTACCATAAACCCAAATCAAAAGGAAAGTAATCAAGAAAGTGCAATCAATACTCCATCTACATAGTCTTCAATTACTACTACGGTCTGTCAGTTTGTTGTACTATGGTAACTTGCACGTTGCTGTGATGCATGTTTCAAATACCAGCAGAGTCACCAATGGGAGACAGATTTCAGCAGAGCGTTCAGATGAGGAAGAAGGACCTGGCAATCTGCTTTTAGGAAACCTGGCCAATGGAGATCTTAATAACAGGACTGCATTGTCTGACTTAGTGCTGAAAGATGAGCCTGTCAGGTTGGAAGGCACATAAAATATTAACTGCTTTCTCAAATCAGAGTTGGTCTTAATGATGTGCACACAGTAAAGTTTGGGGGACCTTAATTTGTTGATTTGTAGCACAGGTCAAGATGAGAATAAACAGTTGCAAATGTTTATCCATTAATAATAAGAACATGGAATGTGCCAAGTATGAACTTTTGAAAAACTGGAAGCTGTCAAAAATGAAATGGAATACTTCATAGATGACAACTATACATGTAGACCTTGCCAGATGGAATATACATGAATCAAATTAACTTCATATGCGGAATGAGACATCATCAGTCTGAACACAACCAAGGGTCAACTACTGAACAAGCCATCAATTGCTCATATGCAAGGTCAAGGTGAAAATGAAGAAAACGGAAACAAGATCATGAGAACCAAAGTATGACCTTGATTATATCCCACCTGAATTGAGACTTCTCATACACAGATTTTCTGCATTAAACTCAAATGACTGCAAACCAGATGAACTGTGGAGTGACATCAAGAATGTAATACATGAAGAAAACAAAAGATAACTAAGGCAAGAAAGAAAGAATAAAATGGATGTCAGAAGAGACTCCGAAAATTGTAGAGGTGTTAAGTGCCATTGAGTCAATTTTGACTCATAGTGACCCAAGGAGTGGCTGGGGGGTTTGAACTACCAACCTGTGGTTAGAAGTCCAGTTCTGATCTTACAAGCACCACACTAGTGTAGAGTAACCAAAGCAAAACAAAATATTTCAAGTGGTACTCAAGAAGACAAAGTAAAGTTTTATAATGAAACATGCAAAGACCTGTAGTTATGAAACCAAAACAGAACAACATGCTCGCTATTGCTCAAACTGAAAGAAATGAAAAAAATCAAGGCTTGAGTCGCAAAATAGATTCTATGGGCAAAATATTTTAAAACAGAAAACATCTAATAAAATTAGATAGAATACAGAGTTTTTGGAATACCAAAAAGAACTGATCGATGTTCAACCATTTCAGGAGAAAGTACATGATCAAAAACCAGTGGAATTGAAAGAGGATATCTAAACTGCACAGAAGGCATTGGTAAAAAATAAGGTTCCAGAAAGAAATACCAATTGAGATGTTTCAACTTACAGGGCAACACTAGACACACTCACTCATCTGTGCCAAGAAATCTGGAAGACAGTTAGTTAACTTGGCCAACTAACTGAAAACAATCCACTTTGGTGCCCATTCCAAAGAAAGGTGATCCAACAGAATGTGGAAATTATTGAACAATATCATTACTATCACATTCAATCAACATTTTGCTGAATATAATTCAAAACCAGTTGCTGTGGTACACATTGACAACAAACTGCCAGAAATTCAATCTGAAAAAGGACTTGGAAGCAGTCATTCAATTAGAACAAGGAGATATGATTGCTGAAGTCATGTGGATCTTGGCTGAAATCAGAGAATACCAGAAAGATGTTTACTTATGTTTTACTGACTATGCCGGGGCTTCGGACTGTGTGGATCATAACAGATTATGGATAACATTGAAAAGAACGGGAATGCCAGAAAACTAAGCTGTGCTCACACAGAACCTGTACACAGACGAAGCAGCAGAACAAGGAGATGCTGTGTGTTTAAATCAGGAAAGGTGTGTGTCTGGGTTGTATCCTTTCACCATACTTATTCAATGAGTATGCTGAGCAGATAATCTGAGAAGCTGCACTATAAGGACCAAGCATCAGAACTGGAGGAAGACTCATTAGCAACCTGTGATAGGAAGATGGTGCAATCATATTAAAAGTAAAGAGGACTTAAGCACTTAATGATGAAGAACAAAGACTACAGCCTTCAGCATGGATTATACCGCAACATAAAACAAATTCTCATAACTGAAAAGCAACATCATAATAAATGGAGAAAATATTGACGTCAAGAATCTCATGTTACTTGGATCCATAATCAAAATGTCCACGGAAGCAAGAGTCAAGAAATCAAATACTGCATTTGGCAAATCTGCTGTAAAAGACCTCCTTAAAGTGTTAAACAGAGCTCTGGTCGGTCACATAGTGGTTACGAATCAGGCTGCTAACCTCAGGGTAAGCAGTTTGAAACTACCAGCTGTTCCGCGGGGAAAGATGAGGCTTTCTGCTCCCGTAAAGATTTACAGCCTTGGAAACCCTGTGCAGGGTCGCTATGAGTCGGAACTGACTCCACGGCTACAAAGTGTTAAAGAGTAACACTTTGAGAACTAAGGTACACCTGACCCAAGTCATGGCATTTTCAGTCTCCTCATAGGCATGCGAATGCTGTACAGTGAATAAGAACACAGAAAAAATAATGAATTTGAATTATGGTGCTGATGAAGAATATGGAATATACCATGGGCTGCCAAAAGAACAAACAAATCTGTGTTGGAAGAAGTACAGCCAGAAAGTTTCCTAGAGACTTTGTCTCATGTACTTTGTACTCTGATCAGGAGTGAGTAGTCATGCTTGGCAAAGTAGAGGATCAGTGGAAAGAACAAAATCCTTAATGAGATTGTCTGACATAGTGCCTAATGGACTCAATTTTAACAATAACTGTAAGGATGACGTAGGATCAGGCAGTTTCTTTCTGTTGTACACAGTTGCAGGCTGCTAATAAAAATAGTCAACAATTCAATAAACAGAAACCCAAGTCCTACTGATGAATGCACATTTTCTAGGTCACTATACCAACCACTGAAAACATTTTTAAAGTGGGAGAATGAAGGGATGTGTCTGCAATACAGTGGTATGTAATCTAGTGCATATCTTGGAGTCTTGCTGTGATATCCTTGATACTCCTGGATCCATTCTCTTCACAGATGATCTGACCTTTTAGCCTACAACTTACTGTCATATTAGCCTCCTCCTTTCCTTAATCCTAAATCACATCTTTTTATTGTGACTTTTTTTTTTTATTATGAAATCTGTAGAGCTCTCCACTTTCATGTTCTAGGTATTTCTCTATCTAAGTCAGCAAGGCCAATATTTTAACCACCTGGATCATTTTGAAGGGGAGCACGATGGCTCTGGATGATAAGCACTGGGCTGCTAACCATAAAGTAGGCAGTTTGAGTCCAACCAAGCAGGGTAATCCTATTTTTAGAATTTTTTTTCAGTTACTTACCAGTAAGGCAATTTCTCTTTAGATAAAGTATTATAAATTCATTTCTTCCTTCCTACTAGCAAGAACTGCCAGTTCAGACCTTTCCATAAAGGACTAGACAGTAATTATTTCAGGCTGGTAGGCCATACTGTTTCTATTGCAACTACTCAACTCCATCACTTTAAAAAAACAGCTGTAGGCAGTATGTATTGGATGTGCAAGTCTTTTGACATGCTCATTGTTCCAACAAAACTTTATTTATGAAAACAGGTTATGGGCTGGATTTAGATAGATGGGCCACAGTTAGTCCATAGTTAAAATCAGAAAAAAATAGAGAGGCGGGACAAGATGTCAAAATGGTTGGATGCTCCAGTTTATTCGCCCAGCAATGACCTCACTGAAACAATGAATGAGTACAAACGAGCACAGACTGAGCAGAACTCTGGACAGCAGCTGAGGTATTGGAGAGGCAGGCTGAGTCCAGAAGGGGAGAATAGGAGGAATGGTGTTAGCTCAGAAGCCAGGAGATTCTACTTGTGAACATCACAAGTGCCATTTTAGGACAAGGCCTGGATAACACTCCCAAACCCAGGATACAGTAAAGAAGCTAATCTTACAAAACTTAAGCTCCATTTTTTAAAAAAGTATTGTTCAAGTTAGTGAGTTTTAAAAAAGTATTGTTCAAGCTAGTGAGTTTGAACCGCTGACATTTCAATTCAAACCAACCTTTTCATCAAGTGCTTATCCTAGAGCACCTGTTTGTGGAACATGCAATTGGGAGGAGGGGTGAAGACAGACCACATTGCTAAAAGAGTGCTGTTGAATGTTGTTGAGGCTGGTGACAGATGGGCGCTTGGACTGGGAGGAACTCCAAGGGCCGCAGGGCAAGGGGAATTCATCAGACTGACAGGAACAAAAAGGATGCAATCCATATGAAACTGAGAATATGTGTGTGCAGGAACATCAATGTAAACAGAGAGAACTCCACAGTCACCACAGCAAAGTTGAGCCCTACCACTTACAGCAATGTCTCTGACCAACAAAATCTCCTACTCCCCACTACCAGCACTTTCATAACGAATTCCATTCCAGAGACCAAACATACAGAATTCCTGAACTAGTACTGGAAAAAAATAAACACCCAAGGATAGGCGTGCCATCTAGTGGTTCCAAGGAGAATATAACAAACCAGTGCAGCTGGGTCATTCTGACACACAGCAAACCTTCTGGGTTAGGAAATCTACCCCGTGGGATTCCCACGGCTCTAAGGGGTCTGCAAGGAGGTGGTCTGCCTCCCACAGAAGAGCTAGTGGGTTTGGGCCCCAGGTTTTGGTCGACAGCCAGGCACTTGGATGCTGTGTCACCAGGGTACCCAATCAGAAAATTCTTCCACAGCAAACAGAATATAAAACTAGAAGCAAATTTTTAAAATAAATAACAGAATGGCACAAACACAACAGAAGTTTGTAAAATACACGAAATCACAAGGAACACTCTTTCAAGCAAAAC